ACAACCTAAGTGTCCCTCAATTGATGAGTGGATAATGAAAATGTGGTTCATATATACGATGGAGTTTTACTCAGTGGTAAAGAAAGATGAAATTTACAGGTAAATAGATGAAACTAGAAACTGTTATACTGAGTGAAGTAACACAGACTCAGAAAAAAAAGACCTATGTTCTCCCTCATATGTGGATCCTAGCCTGATAAGTGAGTATGTATCCAGACATAACTACAGGAACCAGGATAATGAAAAGGAAACAGGGAGGTAAAGGAAAAGAAGGAATCTGAAAGAGAAGAACAATAGGAAACAGGCATTAATAATGGAAATATGGATAAAAATTGGGTTATTTTAAGGGGAGGGAGAGGGAAGGTTATACAAGGAACCTAGGGGATAAAGGGAAAGAATGAGCTCAAAAGAGGTGGGACCATAGGAAAAGGGTATTATTAAGGGAGAAATGGGAAAAATGGGGACACCTTAAATGGGGAAACCATGGTGGAAGAGCTAGACAATGTGAGAGATAAATAATGCCTAGCTCATTTTAAAAACCCAGAGGGAACCATATTAATCCAACAACCTACTGACAAATTATACATACAACTAGATCAAAGAACATAATATATATCTAGGCATGGTTTATCTGAGAGCATATGGTCTTTGCCCAAGCTTTATCTACATGGCACACGGTGATTAAAAGTACCAGACTAAAAGAATGTAATATATGCCTAGGCAAGGTTTATCTGAGAGCGTTTGGTCTTTGTGCAAGCTCTATCTACATGGCATGTGGTAATTAAAAGTACCAGACTGGTGAAACTAACCTTCTTGGATGTTTAACAGCCATACTATGAGGCCTATACTAATTTGGTCAGAGGGACATAAAGGAAAGTTTTTCCTCCTTTCCCTCCTAGGTCAACTAAGTTCCAAGGGACTATGAGCATCTCTCAAAATGTCCCATAACTAAGATGTTTGGAAATAATGGCTTCTCCTGCCTCCCGAATCTCCTCACTTCTAAGTTTAGCCAACTCTTACACAAAATCACAACAATAAACCCTTCTTGATCATATTGTATTATTATTGCAACATATTACAGGATTTTATTTAATGTATTGTCACTTTTGCTTATGTATTAACAAATGAGATTATCCTCTTTTAAAAAAAAAAAAAATGTCCTGTAACTGTGGTGAGTCACCTGTCCTCTTGATCAAGGAGGTCATGGAGACCCCACCAGATGGACCTGAACCAGTGTCCATTCTACAAAGAGGAGGGTCAGCACAGAAGAAACATTTCCATGCTTCCAAGCGAAGCCAGCCATGGTCAAGCAGGACCCTTGACTTAGCTTCACATAGATGAAACTGGTAAAAGAAAGGAGTCAGGGGTTCCTCCCAAGCCCAGGGGTTCCTGTGATCCCTGAGAAACAGATCCTCAAACGACCTTAAGAGTAAAAATAAATTAGTTTATCTGGGCCAACTGTAGGGTCTTAAACACCCAAAAGGAAAGCATAACCAAAGATTAGTGGGGTCAATATAAGTTTTTAAGAGTCCGTATGTATCGCTAAAGGCTACATAATAAGAAACAATGCCAGATACCTTCCTTTGAGTTGTTGGCCAGGGTGGCCCAAAAGACTCCCAGACAGTAACCTAGCATAGAACTGGGAAAATGAACAGCAGACCCCAATCTAATCTAAAGAAATATTGACAACTGATTGCAGCTAGATGAAGAACAGCTGATCTTCCTAAAACAAGGATCTCTAGATAGGCTGACT